CCAGATATTAGCAAAAACCCTTCTAATGGTAAGAATAGTAAAGCACTAGAATAAAGCAAAGTCTGGAGAGACTGTGTTAACTTCTTGTGAATATCTCTGATAACAAACTCTTGACAAGTGTGTGGATCCTGATTTCAGAAAGAGAGATGGGCAAAATACCAGAAGAGGTATCTTTCAGCTCTGTGTTCAGTTTTGTACCTCTGCCTGTGAGGTACAAATTGCATTGACCAGTTGATTGATACAACTGATCATCATATCAGTGACTATATCAACAACAATTTATGTTCTTTTGCCAGTTTGTGGAAGAGTTACTTGTTGCAAATCTTCATTGACTTTCCTTTCAGACAAGGAGCAGAAATGGATAAGGTGATGCAGGAGCTAGGGAAATCACTAACGGACCAAGATGTAAATTCATTAGCGGCTCAACATTTTGAATCTCAGCAGGTAAACTAAGTTCAGTGGACTAGAATATATCATGCATATAACTATCTAAAAAAAAACAAAACCCCAAACATTCAGTTTATCACTGTCTGCTTTTTAGGATTTGGAGAACAAATGGACTAGTGAATTAAAACAGTCTACTGCTATCCAGAAGCAGGAATACCAGGAGTGGGTGATAAAACTTCATCAGGACCTAAAGAATCCCAACAACAGCTCTATCAGGTATTTAACTCCACTGTGAAGTTTACTTCCATCTGTAATAAAGGATTAAAGGATTTGCTTTTGTATACCCTTTCTTTAAGAACAGCTATTTAAACAAGATAACGTTTATAGAGAATGAAAGACAAATCATGATTAAATACATATTTCTAGAAATTTCTTCATCGTGGGCCATCTGTATAACGTTATACCCTTTCTATACAATAAACTGTAGTAGTGCACTAAATTTTATCCTGAGCTGTGTGGATTTCTGTGGGTTTTTTTTTTCCTCACCTATATTTCACAGTGTTTTCTGTTATTGGTTAAGGGGACTCTGCAGAGTAATTGCTGTTTAGTAAACTAACAGTCATCACAAATTTTGAGCTAATAAGCCTCCTTTTTATGTGCACATTACTGAATAACTAAAAATCTTGGGTTTTCTTTAGTATGACCACTTGTGCTGAGAGTTTAAAGAAAAGTGTTCTAACTGAGGAAATTCCAGGGAAATCAGAATTTGGTAACCACTACCTTTGCTGCTATTTGGAAACAAGGAGTAAAACCAGATGCTTTCTAACGCCCTGTATTAGTAGAAGAGTCTATTTGATTAGAGCATTTGGGTGCGTGTTGGAAGGAATCCATGGGAAACAACACCGTTGAACAAAGCGGATGCCAATGGTGAGAGCATGCAGGCATAGAACATAAGAGAAAGTGATGAAGGATTTCATGCTTTAAGTTTTTCCTTTGGAGTGAAGGAAGCAAAATATGTGGAACATGAGGGAAGAGAGAGAAGAAGGGAAACATATTGTGATGCTGTTTGTTGGGATGCTGTTTGTTTAGCTTTCTCGCTACTGTCTGTAGTACTGCTGTAAAATGAGACTAAAGTGGAGTTACTTGGAACTGAAAGCTAGAAGAAACAGACAGCTAGGGATCCAGAGGCAAATACTTCTGAGAAAGTGAGAGGATGTTTTGACTTCCCACAGTTTTGAATGTCAGTATTGGACATCAGTATTCATCTTAAGAGATGTAAAGTCTAGTTCCTGTGACTGTGCTGAGTCTTGACAACTGTAGATCCCTCATGCATCTGAAAATAATGCACAGAAAGTCTACAGTAGGATAACTAGAAGCTTAACATGTTTTTTTTTTTTCCTTTAATAGTATATGCCTGTTTTATCTGATCAGTAAGCATTTGCGGTTAGTGAAACTGCTTACAAGTTTGTAAAACAGTCCTTTATGAACCACTGAAAATTAAAGACACTTCAAAAACAAACAGAAGTGCTTTTCAGTGATGCAGAAAAAAACGGAGAGAATTTCTTGTTCTTTCATATAACAGAAATGGTACTTACTGTATCACTTACTAGCAAACAGAAAAAATAGAATAGATATCTAAAATCTTTCCTGCTAGTTTGTTAACACTGTAGAAAGCTTAATTTGGCTTTTTTAGCTTCCTGTTTTGGGGGAAAAAGAAATCTTAAATCTAGCAACTTCATGAGTAAGTTTTTGGGTGTTTTAAATAGGCTGAGAAGAGTTCACTTTTTCTCTTATTCCTATTTTCCTGTCATTCCATTATAACAAGGTATTCTGATGTTCATTGCTCAATCTCAAAGCGCTTTACAAAGGAGGCTGGTAAGGTAAGTGGAGTCTAGTGTTACTGCTCATGTTCAGTTGGAGTGTTGCATGCTAGAAATGCAAGACCTCAGATTAACGGAGTTCATTCAGATAGGATATGGATTCAGATAGGATAGTCTATGGAAGCCTTTTGGCTTCCATAGACTACTTAATCAAACTTAGGATTGCTTTTGTAAAATATTACTGGTCTTAATGAGAAACCTACTGAAATGTGTATGCTAATTTTTCTTTATTTTAGTGATGAAATTAAGGTTCAGCCTCAGTTGAGAGAATCTGTAGAAGGAAATGGAAGAATTTATGAAGAGCAAAGACTATTAGAAGAAAGTTTTACTATTCACTTAGGTAAGTAAATAAACATAGACTAAAACCAAACATAATAACAAATGTTAATCACAGTTAAGCTAAATGCCAAATAGTAAGTAATAAATGATGGAGCTAAACTATGTATTATTTACAATATTAAACTGTCTGCATATAGTGTACACTGTAACTGTTGTATTTATTCTTCACATATTTAACACAGATACAGTATTATATACACAGTATTAAAAAGGTACCCGTAGAATGTTTTTCATGAAGTATTTTTCAGTTAGCTAGACACTTTTTATCTACTCTAGCAAGGTGACTAGTGTAAAAAAGCATGCTTACAACAAAGCATGTAGTGATTAAAAAATTTTATTTTAACTTTTGATAAGGTTGGTGAGAAAAAATAGTAGTTAAATTGAATTCCCAAGATGAATTACTAGGAAAACAAATGCTTGGAATATTTACTCTTTGTTTATGCAGCAGAGACTTCTTATGTTGTCTGTGTTGGCCTCCACTAGCACTTTTTCCATTGCTTTATGATAGGAAAAAAGGCTTATTTCAGGTATAGATCTGCCTTACTTTGTGACAGAGTAAAAATACAGTCTGTTCACACACTATCTTGTTAACTGCTGATCTGAATGTAAAACTGCATAGAGATTTCAGAACTTTCTTTGAGTATTATTAGTTTTATTTCCCTTTTAGGTCTTTTTCACAAGACTTTGGGAAACATTCTGATCCCTGCCATTTTTAATAACAATCCCGAGTTCCCTGCTTTACTGTATGTATTAAAATCATTTATATTCCACTGATCTCAGAATTTACTTTCCATATAGGCGCTCAGTTGAAGACTATGCATAATTTAAGGTTACTGAGAGCTGATATGTTGGACTTCTGTAAACATAAGCGTAATCATCGAAGTGGAGTAAAACTTCACAGGCTTCAAACTGCAATGTCTCTCTATTCAACTTCTCTCTGTGGCCTGGTTTTATTAGTCGATAACCGTATCAGTTCATATAGTGGCATCAAAAGAGGTGAGTCCTCTAATAGGGTATATCGTGTCACTGAACACAAATGTTGCTCTGTAACATTTGCTGTCTTCTCTCACAGAAAGTATTCCCTGTAAAATTAAAATTTACTGAAGACTCTCATGTTTTGCATATGATGTTACAAAAAGGTAACAAAAATAGAGTGAGGTACGCAGAAATAGATAAGGCTAGAACAGGCAACAGAGCTGTGCTAAGTAGCTTGAACTCTGATATGCTGTTATCTCCCTGGTTTCTACCATGACTTTTGCACTGAGAAGTGCTAAAGTGTTCTGAGTGGATGCTGTGATGTTAATTGCCTCTCTTAGACCAGCTGACTTTCAGTGGGGCCTTGTAACTCTCTAATGTCAATCTAGCATACTGGAATCTATTTGCAAAGATCACAATTCAGTTCTCAAAGCTAAGATTTCAGATTGATAGTAAGTGTATTAAAATATCATGCTTTAAAAATCTCCAGCATCGTGACTTCATAAAAATGAACAAGAGCAATATTAGTGCCTACTCTTGGAAAAACTTGATTAATAGCCATTTTAAATACTTTTCTTTTATGTAACTGGTCACTATAATTAAGGTGTTCTATATAAAAGCTAAGCTTGTTTGTTCTTGTTCCAATTTTGACCGCACAAGCTTTCCCTGAACCATGTTCATAGACCTCTCCCATCTTTCTTTTGAGGTTTAGTGCCAAAATGACATTTGAAATGTCTTTTTGGCTGGAGCCACTATTCTTTGTGATCATTCTAGCATACCGTTTCCTGAGGGGGAAAATGGAGAGGGAGGGGGAAATTGTGTGAGCTACTTTGATATACTGTAAAAAAAGGATTGTAGAGGGAAGAATAGCAGTAAAAATTACAGTTGTGGGTGTGCTGTTTATGGTTTCCACGTTGCTTTAATTCTAAAATTGTTTTTTGCTACTCAGTTATAAATTATACTAAATCTGGGGTCATCAAAATAAGACAGACGTTTAGTAATGCTGTTAAACACAAAATGAGACCTAGCAGCCACCAAATAGAACTTGTAGCCACAATAGGAAGGAAAATAAAGGGAAATGAGAAAATATATTATGATCCCTAAAATGTAATTGTCAAACTTTGATTTCATTGCATTCCAGAGGGATTTTGGCAGACTTGACTGTGGGCTCTTTCCACAGCTCTCTGCCCCATCCTCCTTTTTAAAAACATCAGAGAACTGAATCCCTGAGTGTCATGTCTCAGCTCCTTTGATGTTGTAGTTGGATGTATTACTGTAAACCACCAGTGAAGGTCTGGTTGTACTAAGAGCCCAAACCACTGTAGGCAGCAGCTGAGGTTTAGACACTGCCCCCCCCACCCCACGCCAGCTCCTTCTGTCAGCTCTGTGGTGAGAATGCAAGCTTTTGGCAGAAAGGCAGTAATAAACACCTTTGAGAGAAAGAGAAGAATCTGCCTCTTGAAATGTTAGAGCTGTTTATTGCAAGAACACTATTCAGAACCAATTCTCCTTCCTAAAAGGCTATTTAAGAAGTAGACATGCTAGAGGGTTGAAAGGTACATAAATTGACAAAAATGCTAAATAGCAGACTGCTAAATAACACTTTGCTACTATTATTTAAAAGAGCAGTAATGGCTTGTTCACTCAAAATTTCTGGGTTACAAAAGTATAGAAGCAGTTTTCTTTTCTGCTTCCATTTTAAAAACAGAAAAATACAAACCTAGTAGCCTCTGTTTTGTGATGGTCTAGAAAATCCTTCAAACCTCTGTGGGATTTGCAAAGCTAGTTGATGTGAATGAGCTTCATGTGAGCACAGAGTTTATCCATGTGTTTTACATTGTTTTGAGCAACATTAGTCACTCAGCTGGCACTAAACAGGGCTGCAAGTCCTACAGAGTCCTGCGACTTACTTGGTTGACCTTGTTTGTTTAGCTCTATTCTGAAGAAGATAGCAAATGTGTTTAGTATCTTTTACTGGTTCTGTTGTGTCCTGCAAAAGTCTTGATGCTGCTTTTTTGGTTAAGTCTATTATCCAAAAATAGTTCAATTTCTATCAAAGTTCAGGATTAATGTGAGTATTTGCAAGAGTGAGAACCATGACTATAATGTTTTCTGGGCAGTCTGTATGTCTTCCAAGATAATGCTTTTGAAATTGGGTCTTGATAGTGCTTGGAGCCCGTAGACATCTCTAGAAAAGAACCTTGAGCAGAAAATTGAACTCTGCTATATGATCATTCAACATGCTGCTTTCATTCAGGCTATTTTTCTAAGCTAAATGAATAGTTTCTTTTGTATACTTTGTATTTATACGTTGCCTGACACAACCAGTCTCTTACAGTAGCCCTTCAAAGTCCTCATGTAGCTCAGATTTTGAGCAGATATAGCACGTTACTATAAACAAATGATAAGCTACAACAGAGTTGATTGTAACTGAAATAGAACACATTTTGTTTTTTTATTTGTTTTGAATAAAATGTTTTCTGCACTTATTTTTATATTGATACCCATGAAAGAAATGATCTGTTGGAATAAGGGCTGCTTCTTTCCTCAGTTTTGGACATCAGAGTTTAATAATAAAGCTTTTTTTAAACAGATTTTTACAATGGAGACTTAATCTAGAAAGACAAAATATAGTAAGACTTTCTCTATACCCACCCTGTTCCTGTAGCAGCCTGTTCACAGGAGTGTGTGGTGCTCTTCAGATAGGCAAATGGACTACATTTTAAGGAGGGTTACAGCAGGTACCTCAAAACTGGAAATAAGTAGCAATTGTGTAGTGTAGTCCAGCTTCTTGCTAATGGCTTGTTTTGGCTTCCATTGGCTTGTATGGAAACAAGGTATGTCAAGTTAATACAACACCAGTCACAGAGACAGTATGATAAGATCCTAATTATCAGTATAATTCTTCAAAATCTAACATCAGACTTCCTTATCAGGAAAAGTAAGTTAAAGGTCTTTCCAGCTGTGTTTTGAGAACTAAAAGGAAAGAATTGTAATTCCAGCTTTCCAGATCTGCTGTTGACTCATTTAATGAATAGCTCTTGTTTTGCAAAACAAGCAGGAATTCTGTAGCTGCTGTTGGAAGTGTCTACTACATATGTTTTAATAAAGCATCTCGGATTGAAGGGCTGTTATTAGCGCACGTCATTTTTAAAGCACAACATAATAAGTTAATGCATATGTATGTTATTACTGTTATTTTTGTTTAGTTGGTCTGTATAGGTGGTTTTATCTGAAGATTAACAGCACTGTTTGAAGATTTCTTTCCAGCTAATCCATTCACTTCAAAAAAACGTTCTAGCTGTACCATAAACTTTTTAGAATTTAAAGTGGAATACAGCAGGGGATTGATTTGTTTATTTGTTTTGCCATTGTAACTGGCCTCGCTTGGACAATAGGACAGAATTATGTAATGTTAGCAAGCACAGTTTATGACATGGACTTTGATCTTCCCTTCCCCCTGCCATAGATTTTGCAACTGTTTGCCAAGAATGCACGGATTTCCATTTTCCTGGAATTCAAGAACAGCTTGAAATTGTCCAGAAGGTTGTACTTAAGGCCAGAGCACAGCGTAGCAGTAAGTCGAAAAGACGTCATGGTCAGTGACAACCAAAATTACTTTTCTTGAAATAGAATAGTGGTCAGCTGAATATTTATGGTTATGGGCAAGTTGATTTCACTTTCTTTCCGTTTCCTTATCTATAAAATGGGATGTTCTAGCTTATAGATAAACTCAGATAAGCGTGCATGAAATTCTCTGTAGATAGCCTGTTCACATGATGTATTTGCTACCATAACGGACATACTTTAAAAAAACAAACAAACAAACAAACAAACCAACAAACACAGCTGAGTTTCTGATCACACCATTGCAGCACAGAAAATATTTAGGGCTGTTATGCTTTCCCTCTTCTGCGGTTCAAACTTTGTAGCAACACACAGACATAATCTGACCTGACTCTTTTTTTCTTTCTATGTAAAGCTTTAAAGATCACAGAAGAGGCGTTGGGACTTCGGCCCCCTCCTTGTAAACGAGTACTAAAAAGTAAATACTTTTTAGTAGTGGCCAGATCCTCGTACTTTGCTCTTATATTTACAAATAGCTGAGAAGTTTTATGACCACATGCTGTTAAGGCAGTACTTGTACATCATGAAACTTTGTTTTTCTTGCAAAGACCTACTTCTGTGGTTTAAATACGTCAGTAACATGAATAGATTCATAACAGTACATAGAGAAACAGGTTTTCCTAGGAGCCTGCATGTCACTAGTCTCAAAAAAAAAATACTGAAAGCTGTTTTTATAATACTGGCTTTATGTACATTTCATAATCATTTTCCTTGTAATAATAGGAACAAATTTGTTTTAAATAGTTACCTCACTATTGCTTTTTAAGTAAAGTATTATGTAGCTGTGGAGGTAATTTGGAAAGTTCAGTGTTATGTTTGAGTATATTGGGTTTTCTTTTGTCTGAATGAAGCGGTATTGTAGGATGATTAATTAGAAAGCTAATGATTTGAAATAGGACTCAGTTCAGCGTTAATCAAAGAAAACAGAAACACTTCCTGTCCCTCCCTCATTTTCCCTGGCTTTATGGTAAAAATTAAAACCGCATATCATCTCAGTGCATCAAAGTTGTATGCCAAAGCATAATTAACACATGATTTGTTTAATATTTGTACTATGTGTTTATATACAGGAAACAAAAATAGTGGGAATGAAGATAAATCCAAGAGTATTGAACGAAACCAGTCAAATATTTTGCCAGGTGAGTTCCGCTGCATTTTTTTACCCCTCTTCTTATAGCAAATTGTGTTTTATAAATGCATATTTTTAGTTCTAAATTCAGAACATAAATTATAAACTAAATCTGAGTTGACCTCAATCAGAGAAGAAGGATGTTCTTGTGGGTAAGGCAGGGAGCTGGGTGTCAGGACATCTGGTTTCTATTCCCAGCTTTGCTGTCATTTCATCATGTGACCTGGGGCAAATCAGTTAACTTCTCTGTGCCTAAAATTTCTTTTCAGAATTTGAGGAAAAAAGATCTTTGAATACTTTGGGAAGAAGGTGATACTTAAATAGTAGCAAATAAATTTATTTGAACACATGTATGCCACTGTTCTGATTCTCTAAGTTAAATATATTCTAAAATGCTTTACTGAATGTAAAGATCTATTCCCCTAAAAGAAGAAATATCTTTTTGTAAGTATTATTATTTTAGTAAGGAAAGCTTCTGTGGAATTTGAAGATGAACGCACAATAGCGGGAGAGAGGAAATAAATGCATACAATTCATGGCTGAATATGGGAGCTTCTTAAAACTACTTTCATGGTTGCCTTAGCTCTTGTTAGTGTAAGTGAATTACAAATCGGCTTGGCTCCTTAGTGGATAAATCCAGTGCATTTTGCTGCTGTGGCTTGTATATTACAACTCTTGGATGGTCACTGCTGGTGATTACTGCCCCCTTAGCAGACGGCAGAAAGGAGTGCATACCTGTCCTTCAGCCATCCCAGTGCAAAGGTAGTGTCTTAACTTAAATTGAAAGTGAAATTGAAGTGAAAGTAGATTTGAAGAAAGATACTGATCTGTTGACTAAAACTGCAGGGATATGGCATACCTGCTTTTCTGTTGGCTATACTATAGAGGTGCTGATCTCCAGTGGAAGGGGAAGATGGAGAGACGCGTGTTGCACTGCACCTTGCTGTTTTCTTACCTTTGATAATGAAACACTTAGTGTAAAAATGTCTCCTGACAAGATTTCTTATGAACTTTTTGAAAGCATTTCAGTAATTATTCTTCCCGTTGCTATGAATTATTTCTCATTCTAATGATCATTGATACCTATTTCTTCTAGTACATATCTCAGTTGTTATATAACCCACTATCTTTTCCCACAGAGTTTTTGCATCCTTTACTTTAACTCATCCATTTTTGGTATTTCCGCCTCCCACATCTGTCTGCAGTTCAGTGCTTGCGTTGTATATTTTGAGTATTACACCTCCTCTGTTTTTGTTTTTCTGTGTTTCCTACCATATATAGATCATATCCGCCTGTACTGGCACTATTATGTCTTATTACACCAGATGTCTGTGATGCCAGTGAAACCCATCAAAGCAGGGAACTACGTGGAGGATAAACGTAAAACAGTGATGTTCCAATAAGTTTTTAGATGAGTTGGTGTCCGATTTTTATCTCCTTATGTATCTGCTCTGATCTTCATTATGTAGCTGTATTTGCTTTTGTCTAACTAAATAAAAGAACAGTATCGTCTACTTGCAGTGACTGGAAGTCTTAATACTGACTGACTCTGTTGTTATGTTGCGTTAACAATTGTATTTTGATATAGATCACTACCATGATATCTTGCCTTCTTGGTTTATATTATTCTGTAGGAGAATTCTACATCACACGCCATTCAAATCTGTCCGAAATTCATGTTGCTTTTCATCTCTGTGTGGATGATAATGTAAGATCTGGTAATATAACCGCTCGGGATCCTGCAATCATGGGACTCAGAAATATTCTCAAAGTTTGTTGCACACACGACATCACTACAATTAGTATTCCTCTCCTACTGGTACATGATATGTCAGAAGTAAGTAAATAAATACATTAGTTTCTTTTTATCTTCTTGGATACAAAAACAAAGTTTATATTTATGAAGGGTATGTTTCATGCTGGTATAAGCCAAATGGGGCAGTCACGTGCTCCTGCTGCATCATTTTACTGTCACTAGTATCTGTGTGGTGAGCTGGATTAAGGAACTAAACCAATTAAAGAAAACATTTTAGCCAGCTGAACCTCTTCCTTTTTTTATTCCCAACTCTTATTCTGGGCGCTTCACTACCTTGATTCAGCTCACTGCACAGTTGCACAAATAGTAGTGATGGCATGAAGGAAGTGATGGAAATACAGAGCGGAAAGTTAAAAGATGAGTCTATTGGCAGCAGCCCTTGCTTAGAAACTATGACTTTAGGATTGCTGATACGAAAGTGATGCTAGATCCTCAATGTTCACTGTTGCTAGCTAGAAAAAATAAGTTAGAACTAAGTTTTCTGAGCAGCAGAACTAACAAAAGCCTGACTTCTTACAGAATTTTAGCCCTATATCCACGAACACCGTTCTTTCTCGCCCTTGAGCTCATACTGCCATAACCAAATTACAGCTTCATTCTGCACTGTCTCCTTCTGCCCTGTCTCCACTGCCTGTTCATTCACTTCAAATTTCTGTCTCTGTCTCTACTTTATATCCCTCAAATACCTGCTGGGCAAGAAGCATATGCAGAGGCTCTCTGGAAGTACAAGCGTGCTTACTTATTGTGCTGAGCCCTTGTAATTTCTTCAGTGGGACACTAATGTGCAGGACTCATCTCTACCTAACTGTAACTTTTCACAGTCCGTAGCAATTTAATAATTGCTTTGATAATCTTTATTCTGTCAGATTTGGCTCAAAACATATTGGAAGGGAAGGATCTGGGGCAGGGCGGAGAACCAGCAGACAGTACAACTATATGCCTCACTTCCTTAGATGACAAATCTACAAACTTAAAGAAATGAGAAGAATAAGATAATGCTGCCATTACTGATATCCTTGCATATTTTTTAATTATAGTCTGTTTTTCAATTATCACTTTGAAATTTACAATTGAAAAAAATCAACACTGCCTTTTCTTTGTTGAAAATGCCTGGCCTATGGAAAGAAAAAGGCTCACCAGCGGAGCACTTTTAACAGGTGGAATAACTGTGGGTTTTTTTATCTTTTTTTTTTTTTTTAAATAGAATTTGATCTGAACATAGTGCAAAAGCGGATCCCTACTGCAAGATCAGGGTCCTTTATATGCAAGCAATGCAAAAGGTAGAAATTGCTAATAATGAAGATTCCAAAGGATATATTTCTATACTTTTAGCAACAGATTATACTTTTTCAGAATGTAGTTTTCCATCTCTAGTGCCAACACCTTTCTTGTGTTGGTATTAGATGCAAGTACCAACACATGTTACAAATGCAAGTAATCAACTTGCAGGACAGCAGCCTGAGTTATTCATGGGACCTAGTTACAATGCTTCAGAAATCTGTAGTCTCCCCTCCTTTTTTTTTTAAATTAAGTTGGCATGTGACTATATTCATCCTTTTTGTCTTTAAACTTGTTAGTTTTAGCTGTCATTGAATATAAATATTTTAAAATACAAGTAAAGCCCAAGACAAAGTCTTCACCATGCTTTGAGAGGATTCTTTTGCTCAGATGTGTGAAACCGAAGAATTGTATACTTGTCTGGTGCTAGATTCTTAAAAGATCCTGGTAAAACAATTTACGTACTATGAAATTTTTTTGTTTAGGTATTTGCAGAAGAAGCAGAAAGTGAACTTTGTGATAATCATATGCTTAGCCAAAACTATACTATGTGAATTGCATTAGCAGCATTGCTTATTACAGTGCTTTGCAGCTGGCTGACCTGATTTCAAACACAAAAATATGTTACTTGCTGTTGAAGAAGTGAATAATACCAAATTTCTGAAAGTTAATCTGAACTTGGTGCCTTCAGCAGACCCAATTTTGAGTCTGCATTTACCACCTACATAAAAACATTTTTGTAAAGTGGTTAACCAGGAGCACAGCTGCAGAGATGTTTGCATGCTTCATTGCGACAGGCATTCATCATGAGCTTTCTTTTGTTTTTCCAAAGATCATCTTCTTTTATAGATGGAAAAGTGGTGTTTATAACTTCACAGTAGTAATGAGTTCGTGAAATTCAGTGAAGCCATTACATTTCAATAATATTGAGGCTTTGTGTAAAGCTAATTAGTTTTTTCCTAAGAAAAATACTGAGGTTTTTGTTTCCCTTAGTTTTTATGACTAGAACAACAACAAAACCCAGACTTTTGTGTTCAAGTTGATCATTAAGTTTAAAGAAGGAAGAAAACTGGGTTTGAGACTTAAAAAAGCCAAAACTGTACAAATTCAAATTCAGGCTAAATGAGTAATGACTTTACTTTAAGATTTTACTGTCTGATCATTGTTCTGAATCTTCCATAAACTGGACTGGGAAACTAAAGAGCTGTAATAACACGGCATCACTAAAAATGCTAGAGCTGGCACATTTCCATGGTAATTTCAGCATAGGAGCCATTGCTGCCATCTGTATAGCAACATGGAGAAAAATGGTACTCCTCAGACCTCTTAGGCAGCTGTTTCTTTGATCGTAAGACAAACGTGTTTCGGAAAAAAAAAAAAAAAGTAGAAAAGAAAGGAGTATAAGCTGTGTAACAAATATTTATGAATATGGTTAATGTTTGTCTTTTTGTGATGTTAGTGATGAGTGTATTATCCTTAAATAATTCCTCTCCTTACAGTTTCCCACCTAGAAATAAATAGCTGCTAATACAGTATTTAGGATTTGCATAGATAAAAACACCTTGCTAATTTTCAACTTATTGAAATTAAATATTGACATTTGTGGCATTTTGTCCCACAAGAAGTACTCATGGAGTTCAGTGTTTTTATTACCCTAATTATGATATGGTTCTGCAAATACTTAAGGATGCATTTAACTTTTTAAAAGTGGCAACCCCATGGAGTGAGGCTGTCACAAATTAAAATAAATTAAAAAGGCATGCAGCATATCTTATTAATTGCAAAACTTAGCCTCTTTTTTGATAAGCAGAAGAAATGTTTACTTGACAGCAAATCTTTGCATCTTGAAAAGGAGTTAAGTGAGGTCTCCACTAGTGAACAAAACCTAAAGATCCCAGGCACGTACTGTATTTTATAGAATGTCATTAACTAAACCTTATCATAAAAAAAAGTATTTTTTTTCTAATCCCCAGCATTGTGTTTAGAATTGATACTTACCTGATTCTTGATCTTTTCCACAACTGCTGTTTAGTTTACACGTAGAAAAAAAATCTTGACAATATGGCAAAATCATGAGAACTTATGTTTTAAAGATGAATTAGAAAGGAATCATTAGTGCGTCATTTTCAGTTTTTGTGGCTTGTACTCAGTGGCCTTCTGCGTTCAACCTGTTATTTCCCTGAGTGCCCACAGCACTTAACTTCTATATTCCTCTGAAATGGTCCAAGGAATAGTGTCATATCCTGCTGTTTGAATTGTTCCTTTTAAGGCTTATTTCCCTTTATTGATTACACAATGTGCTCCTAAGTTAACTTCAGGGCAACAGGACCTATCTTTTTAGACGCTGTTTTTTAACCTAGGGCCAAAACAGTGATCCAAACTAACAGTAAACACCTACCTTGCATGTGACAGAAAGCACATATAGGCAGATAAATTGTAACAAAGACCTAATATTTCTTCTGGAAAGCTTAGAAATGAAAAAAAATTATTGTCCAGCATTGTTCTATCTATCTGATTCATGTGTTGCATAACCTTAAAGCAGACCAATTGATGCAATGATTTACATCATAAAAGAAAGTTTTTTTTTTTAGAAAAGATACCTCTAGCTTTTGCTGTTTTTACCTAGGATATGTTTTGGGGAGGGCAGGAGATGCTTCTATCTAAGTAGAAACTGTGGCTTTCAATAATTGTTTAATGCAGCCCTGTTCAGTATACTGATTTAGTGTTATCAGTCAGCAGTCTTAGATATGTTTCCCAAATACCCCCCCCCTTTTTTTTTTTTTAAATCCTGAAAATGAGGCTCTTTGCAAATGGCAGCTTGCGATAAATGCTGGCTTTGTTGAATTGAAAGTTATTTAAAGTGTAAATTTGAAAAGGTACATAAATGACAATTTTATTTCTTCATGTATATTTCTGTATTCAAATTGGAAAGTGCTTGTGTTTTGATGGTTGAGAGTAGGTCAGAACGAATAGGTACTGTTTTCTTTCTGAGAAGTGTTTGTAGTGGCAGTCTTTCTGTTTCTGAGTAAGAATATTCATCTTAGTATTTCTTAATCTATGGATAAAGAATGCTTAATATACTGAAGCATTTAAACTGTTACTTTGATTATTTAGACCAGTGTCTATAGTAGTATCTGAGAATAACTTAAGCTGGTGTGGTTTCTCATACTTCATCTTAGTATTTACCTGTAGATAATAATTTGCTGTCCAGTTATATCTGAAAATAGCCCACGGATTTTTGTTTGTTTTAACTCTTTTACCCAAATGCATCCTTTAGGAGAGAAGGGCTTCTGCCAATTCCAGTATTAGAGAAGAAATTTTTACTGTATGCCTACAGTTATACCAGTAGGCCTTAACCAGAATCATCAAGAATAGTTAGTAATCATCAGTCACTGCTGTTAAGATGTGTTCAGGAACTTCTTTGTGGCAAACTGAAGCACGACTCTGACAGTTATCAATTGGATGTTATATATAAAATTTTTCTGAAACTCCACAGAGGAGTTGAATAGATTAATTTCCAAAGGTATTAATAGGATTGTCTGTCAACAATATTTCTCTTTCAAAATCTCAGCTTAAAAAATAGACTGTTCTGACAGTGGGCTCTGGTAGCAGTAAGCAGGAGCTGAGCTTTTCTAGTCACCTGTAAAGTATGCACCACCTGTTTAGAATATCTGGAAAACTGAATCCCTCTTCATTGCCTGTCATGCTGCTTGAATAACCTGATGGGAACACGTCTTATAGCAACATTTTTTTAATTACCCTGCTACTCTTTTTGGTTAGCTCTAGGGGTCTATGGCAATGGGAATTTTATTTATTTGTTTATTTTAGGAAATGACTATTCCATGGTGCTTGAAGAGGGCAGAGCTTGTGTTCAAGTGTGTCAAAGGTATGTTAGTGTGTCAGTGCTTGAGCTGTCTTTCTGTGTTGTATTTGGTGACATCAGGTCTTATCTCAGACTACGTTTTCCCTCCAAAAGTATTTTTTTTGACGTGAACTTACTGTTTGTTAAAACATATACTTATATTTGATCTTTGAAATTATTAACTCTCGTGTTATTATGGGACTGTTTTAAGCATCAAGAAATAATTTCAACTACTTAGAATAACAACTAAAAATGTTTTGAAAGTACCTTTAGAACTCATAAATACAGACAATGGAGGAAAAAAAAAAAAAAAGCTCTTACTGCTATTTTGAGCAGTCTCCCAAGAAGGGCAGGATCTAGTGGTTCTCTACACTATCCATGTCAGTCTTTTATGTTTGCGTTGTCTCAGACGATGAGCAGGCTCCACATTTATTTCCAAGACCAGTGAATATGCTAATTCATCTCTTTGCTTGAGAGTCCTCCTGATTCAACTTGATTTTTTTTTCTACCTCTACAAATTATTTTATTACTTATTATGTATTGCATTCCAATGTCCTGCACTTCAATACTCAAAACAATATTTTATAACATCCAGATTTTTGATAGTGTTACGCTCTTTCTACCAGCTATTCAGTAACTTCTTCCTGTTGTGATTGACAATAGAATATCATCCACGTAGTCGCTTTCGTTAAACAAGAAGCACTTTTACAAATATTTTTATCTATCATTAGTGTATTCCTGTGGACCTTGCAGATCACTGGCTATAGTTAGGGAATGCTTTATATAAAAATGCCAAATCATCACATGAGCAATGAGTATTGAGCTTTTTCGTATAACTTAAGTACAGGTAGTTCTGTTACTGCCAGATTTTCAGTATACTTTTGGCAACAGGCTATTCAGGCTTGCACTCACTCTTGTGGATTTGATCAGATCAGAGCTAAAGGAGAGAGCTATTTCTCAATGAAAGCAAACTGTTGAAAGAACTCCTAAGAGTCACGTTCAGAGAAACTTCTGACTTCTGCTGGCCAGCAGATTGTTGTGCAATAGGACTGGATATTCTGCTCTCTCAAGGGTATACTGACTTTTTTCCATATCTCTTCATTAGATTCTCCACTAAGATCAGATTTCATTCAGCAGATTGACAAGTGTAATTTGAGTGTGATTAATTACATCGCAAGTTAACATGATTAAAATCCTAACTGTGTGTGAAAACTCTTATCACTGCTTGACAACAGTATAATTGGAAAAAATTTATATACATAATGCATAATACAAATTCTGTATTGTTTAGGTTTCATGATGGAAATGGCCTCATGGGATGGAGGAATTTCTCGAACTGTACAATTCCTGGTACCACACGTAAGTTAAATCAAGTTCATATATAACCTAGGAGACTACCAAAACAAGAACTTAAATTTCAGCAGGTCTAGATTTGATTTCTTTGTTACGCCCTTTTGGATATCCTGTAGTATCTTCTGAAGGTACCAGAAATTCAAATTGGGAAATATACCTAATAGCGAATACATAACCTTTGAAAAAGATACTTTTTTTTTTTGCTATTATTTCCTCTAAAGAGATAGGACTAATCTTACATTACTTAATTTTAGACTTTAACTGGTCATATTATCTAGCATCATGGAAAGTTATAAACACAGTGGGTTCAATCATGTTCCACAAAATCATTAATGGCTTTAGAAGTTTGAAGTTAATTATAATTAAGATAGTGAAATAATTGAATTCACAGTTATAGCTGATCTTCAGAAACAGAATGTTTTCCAATGATGACCAGTACTAAGTTTTATTTATTTGTTCTGAAAGCAGGGCTGGAAGTTATATAAAAATCAGAGCTATGTTAAGAAAGAAATAAGATGTATTTGTTGACAAAGTAGTAAACCGCTGAGCAAGGAAGAAGCCAAGAATAAACTAAGTACTGAACTTGAATCTAATTCAGAGAGCAGAAGTCATGTAGGTAACGACAAACCAGCACCATCCTGGTTCTGCTAGACAGAAAAAATGAATTACTGGAACCAAGAAGTCTACTGGAAACAGATATACAGATATACACATAAATATACAAGCAGTATTTCTAGGTCGGTCTTTCGCTTTTGATTGAATTAAATATTATTATAACATGTAGTTTGAAAACAATATTCTGAAAAACAGCAATACCACTGAATGTCAAGAAACAAAGCTTAGAGAGATTTATTTCTTCCAGACTACAGCAAAAAGCCAAAGCTTACTGATGTATTTTTACTCTTTTTTTTTTCTTCTCCAGACAATTTCTGAAGAAATGTTTTACCAGCTGAGTAATATGCTTCCCCAGATCTTCCGAGTGTCCTCTACATTGACTCTCACCTCTAAGCACTGAATTTTGTGCAACAGTAAGGTATATCCTGTTGAAAAAGGTTGAAATTACTGAGATTCTGTAGTAGAATGTCTCTCTTCTGTGGATTGATGGCCCTGAGTTGGAATTTGTTGCAATTTCAAGAATAATATCAAAATGAAAGATATATGCTGTCTGTACTTGGATGTTGGCATTTGATTTTTTTGCCTGTTGCATGTTTCAGTGCAGTGTTAATGTTGAATTCCTCACTTTTTTTCTGGAAGACATTGAATGTAACTAATTGTATTTAATCCACAGAAACATAAGTGGTTGCTATAATTAATAACTTGTAGTAGGAATAGGATCTTCTGTTGGTGGGAGTGCATCTTTGGGCTGTTGGATTTTTGAAAACATTTTCTGAATTTATCCAGTGGCATTACCAAAAAAAAAAAAATGTCTCCTTAGAATAACTTGACGTAATTTGTTGCAGTTGTCTTTCCAAGGTCACAGCAGCCAGCAAATAAAACATATTACACCAGTACTTTACCATTTAACTATTACAAAATGAAAGATATGAAACAATCGATTAACCTGCTGCATTTTGTAAATCACTGAAGATAAGTAATATGCTTATAACAATGATTAGTATTCTTAATTGTTCTTTCTTTTTGCTATTTTTAGTTTGTTATCTTTATACTTTATTTTAAGATTTGACATTGACAAATCTGTCACATGAACAACTCAATAGGAATGCTATAGTGTCCTGAACTCTGTACAGGTATATTTTGCTGCCTAGAGTCCAAATGTTTTATGACTAAACAGTTCTGTCAGAAAATGCCAATGTGTCTAGTCAAGATGCTTCCATAAAACATCTTGGGACAAACTTTAATCCTGTCAAAAAAAGAAAGAAAACCAAAAAGTCTATAACCCTGTGGACGGAGGGAGGGAAAGTAAATCTGCTTATCTCCTGGCTTGTATAGTTAGTCTTTTTAAAGTCAGCTGTGGACCCAGGAGATTGGAAACAATCCTTCAACCTGGAGACTGATCACAGGAAAAGTCCTATCTGAAACTGGGATTCTCAGGGTCCCCAGAACAGTCAGGCCTGCAGCCAAGCAGCTGAGGTAGCAGAGGTCCCAGATGAATTTCTGCACTCCACAGAACTCCACTGTTCTCTCTTTCTATGTATTGCCAAAATTTTACACTTCAAAACTGCAGATCCTGGAAGTTGACTAAAAATCAAATGACTTGCTGTCATCAATGTGATTTTTTTTTTTTTTAAATACAGTTCAATAAATGTGAAGAATGTAAATCACTTTTCTGGGGAAATTGTAAAATTAATTATTTAAAATTTTTGTAGAGAATCAGAATATTAATCCAGTTCATGATGTTTATAAAGGCACTGTGTAATTAACAAAACTCTTTCCTTAATGTTTTTGTTGAGTCCTGCATGCTGTACAGAAGCCATGTAAGTGACCCAGCAAACACCTATTGCTGAACTGTCAAACGCTATTTTTTCTGTGCCAGCAACTCCTAAAGAAGAATCATGCGAGTAATGTGACCTGATTTGGTGTTCTAGAAAAGAAGGATGTAAATTCATCTAGAAGGAGCTGGATTAATCCTGTTAGAGCTCATTTTACATTGCTGGCCTTAAGCTGAGATCAAACTCTAGTTCCAGAAAAGCAAGTGCTGTAACCACTATTCTGTTTATGAAAGATACAGTGGCGGAAGTATTCCTTTTATAAGTTGTAGGACTTGTCTGTGTTGCAAAACAGGTCTATGTGTTATATACTTTTTATCCTTACAGGTTCTCTGCCAATAAAAATTATGCCCAAATTTTCCTGTTACTTTGACAAAATCCCAGGACGTGCCATTTAAGTTATTACTGCACATGTAACACTCCAGATAGTCCTGAGAAAAGCATTTAGCTTTTTTTTGTTTTATGTCCTGCTGCCTTTGACTTTTGAAGGTATATATTTTCAATCCTCAGGCAATAGATTACATGGAAACATTTCAGCATAATTACCTATTGGTCTTTGATACGAAAAAGAACAAATAAGTTTTAAGGATGAGGTTATGAACAGTCAAATGCTAGCAATATATGTGAAAACTATTAGTTCTGACTAAAATGCTACTGAAGCCTGGACATTGTAAACACTGTACTGCTCTGCGAACTTCTCTCTTTCTCAAAAATGCTCTTACCAGTTCACCTATTATTCTGGCTTCTCCTAGTTATTCTCAAGAAAGTATTGCTAACGGCAATTTTTTTAGCTGTTTTTTGTTGCAGAAAGACAAATACTATAGAGGTAGGATGACCTAAACTGTCCTTTCTGTTTAATCTGCACCTGGCAACTGTACAGAACAGTAGCATAAGGACTGCAATTTATGGAGTAAAGCCATATGTAAAATCCTGTTTGGGACATGAGAAGCTATTGGAGAGTAAGAGGAAAATGACTCAGTAGACCTGAGATTTTCTATTTGTATATGTAGGTGCAGTATTCCTTGGAAGGTGGACAGTATCTAAGACAATTTTACACAGTATTTTTAAGATATATGTGCCTGGACTCATACTGAATAACTGTTCTTGCCACTAAGAAAAATGAGGAAGGAATGCCATTGTTTAGCTTTTTTGACCTGCTCATGGTGGCTGATGTAACCTGCAGGTGTCCTTTAAAGAATGTGAACTTAGGTTATTAAAAGAAAATAATGAAAAATAATCTTGATTTGTCAAGGACATACTAACTGACCTTCAGTTACATGATCTGTGTTAGCTTGCTTAGGTGGTGACTGATGAGAAACAGGAGGAGAAGAATGCAAATAGTTGAGAAACAGATCTGCAGACCTAGTTCTCTCTAGACTACTTTTACCCTATCATAATTCCAGAAATTTCACTGTACACGTTGCTGCTCAGGGAGAGAAGAACCACATCTGAGATCTTTATTTCTGAAATCATTCACTCTGGATTACAGAATATGAGTTAAGCACAGTTGAAAGAAGTTATCTCACAACTTTCCCTGTTGTATGAGAGATGAATGAAGCCAGCTTAGAAGAAAATTAGGGAGAGAGGATTTAATCTAAAGGAGAAAATTATGAGTAGGTTTAAGTGTTGAGTTCTAAACCAGTTCTGCTATTTATGTGAGCTTAGAGTTGATCAGTTCATTTGATCTGTACCTTGTTTTTTTCCCCTCATTAGAATGAAGTTTAATTCATGCTTGTATAGTATTTTGACCGTTAGAGTCCTACGTGCCCATCATTAGTATTCTTGTCTATACTATAACCAAAAATGCAGTGCAGTTCCTTGGTATGCAGACCAGGTCAGAAATGTAAGGAGATGTCTATCCTCTTCTTGTAACTTTGCATCATTTAGGTATCAGGATGGAAATATTGCACCAAAATAAATGTCTGTCTTCATCCCTTATATTGAATGTGGTAGAATTCAGTAGCATAGGACCACAGAATTAGAAGAACATATTATGCAGAAGAACAAGCAAGCTATTCCTGGTCATTAAAGTTCCAAGGGCTTGACTCTATGCCAAAATAGTGTTTAAAAGTTAAGTTGTAATTTTTCCAGTGTTCGGAAGCAAGTGGAACAAAGCAAACATATATAACGAGGAGCAGCACTAAGTGACAAGGCACATCAGTCAGCAGTAGCAACATAACGATGAAGTAAATACGCTGGTAGAAGTTGGTACGTTTGAGAGAGAGAAAGGAGACTGCCTGCAGGAATAGGATGATATTCTGTATATGAAGTCATCACAAAAGTATATACTGCCTTGCTAGTGGCTTAAGCTACTTGTTAGCAGAATTGCTTTGAAAAGCTGGGCTAAACAGAAAGCAAAGAGATCTAGCAATTACAGGTAACAGTTGAGCAGTTGGGATGGGTTCATCTTTCCTAAGCAGTGCTCCCCCTTGTGTTCTCCTACTGGCAAATGAACCTTACTCCTTTTAACAGGGCAAACGCAGCTTCAGAAAGCATAATGGGGGAATACCCCTAGGCTAGCACAAGTCTATATAGCTTGACAGAAAATGTGGGTTTGAATTCCCTCGGAGAGAAAAGCAAATTGAACCTTGGTCTTCAATGTACTAAGCAGGGCTCAAATTGGGAGCTTTTATGTTAAATGGGACCCTTCATACAGTGGCAGTGTTTTAGACTCTCAGAATATCTACCAGGCTGAGCCTACAGAGTACCTGCAGTGAAGAACACCTAATATATGAGCTGAATGAGCTCAGACATAGCCAGATGCCTAGGGGCTTGTTATTCTCAAAATGGAGATGAATTTATGAATACTCAGAAGCAGAGCTTTTAAGTTCCTGGGAAAACTTCCATTCCATGCTGCAGTACCAAGCGTTTCCATAAATGGGCAACAACTGAGCATGCATGTTAGGTTGCAGTTTCTGATGTAGGTATGTAAATTGTATCTTAATTCTAGTTTGAAATACTGTTCTTTCTCTGCACGTGAGGTAGGCTGCCCCAGCAATTTTAGGCTAAGGAGAAACCCATAAGAAGCCTGTAAACTCTTTAAGATTAGTTCCTGGAGCTTTTCCCAGAATCTGGACTGAGACAGGTGAGTCGTAGTTCTTTATTTCTATTCCCACGTCTGTCAGAGTAACCTGCAAAGGGAGAAAACCTATGTTCACCCTTTATAGTAAAGGCTCTAAAAAAAAAATAAAAGCCTATTGAAACTAGTCAATGTCAGAGGTGAAGTAAGGTCTCACAAGTTCTGCCTTATCATATAGGAGGCTGCCCCCATGAAGTATATTGGACAAGGTGTCATCTTCAAAATCTCTTGCTTTGGAGAACCTACCAACATATGGAGGACAGTGTGTATGGAAGGAGTGAAAGAGCACATCAGGAATGACTCACCCATCAGCTCAAGCAGATACATCAGTGTACCTAGGGTAAGGAATAGGAGGTCTAGTCCATTTCCTGTGGCCTGTTGAATAAGCAGGCTTATGCCTCTGTGGCTGCTATCTGTGGAAGCAGAGAGAAAGTATGCCAATCTGGTAGGCAGTCCCTGTTGTTATGCCCGTGGGCTGGGCAAGAGGATGATATGCATAGGTCATAGCAAGTCACACAGCAACAGGCATCATACATGAAGTGGCTTGGTTCAGTGGGTGAGAAATGGAGGACATCCAGTATTCCTATCTAGTAAGGACATTAGAGGACAAAAAATAAGGAAAATACGGAATGGAGGAATGCAGTGTAAAGCAGCCCAGAGAAAGTCTGCATCAGTGAATGGTCAGGTTGTTTTCCTAAATTTAATACTGGCTTTCAACTAAGAAAAAAATCCACATTTTGGCAATCTCTAATATGGCTGTAACTGACAGAGGGAAGAGTGAAGGTACAAGGAGGTCATCTGGAACAGCAAGATGATTTCAATGGGGCCAAGGGATATGGCTGAGAAATAATGAATTGGATTTTGCACACCTTGAGATGTTCACTATATGCTTAATGGAAGGCCACAAAAATACTGCTGAGTTGGTAGACGATAGCTTAGAGGGTGAGATGTCAAATGCATCTCATGGGGAAGATGAGATAACTTTAGAAAGGACATATATGCATTCCTATGGGCATTTTTTCCGCTATGAACTAACTGGTTTTTTTTGGAAATGGCACTGCAGACATAGCTACGTGATACGTGGTTCTTGGTTCACCTAACAGTTTCTCTCCTCTCAGAATAGACATGGAGCAGTGTTTTCAACCAGTCTTATGCGAGGCTGAGAAGTTATCTGTAGTGGGGATAATTATCAATACCTGCAGGGCAAATAAGAGAACACAGAACAAAAAGAGAAAAATTCTTATGTCATATTTATAACACATTTATCAATATGAAGTATCGTACCAAATACTGTTTGTACAATGGAGAAACAAAAGCTGACAGTGTTGAGTGGTAAAAGAACTGAGAATGGACTAGCATGTAATATTGTATCATGGCTCTTCTGAGAAATACAGATATGGCAGATATTGGCATATTTCCGATAGCAGCTGCAGTTCACAGCATGTCTCCTAAATCTTCATTCCAGTCACTGGGAATAGGGCAGAAGACATTATTATAGAAAACAAACAATCTTATGCAGTCCAGAGCCTAAGGGATGTGATGTTAGCTTTGACTATCTTCCTAGTTATTAGACTTTTTAGCAGTCACCTTTTGCTCTGAGTTTTGCTAGTATGAATTCAAAGTCTACTAAAGTTCACAGACTTACTCCAAAATTACACAGATGTAACTGAGAGCAGAATTTGGCCTTATGTGCCCTTCCAAGGCTGCTAACTTTGAAGAGATAAAGAGTAACCCTGGCTAAATGACACCTGAACGGGAATATGAAAAACATCTGTAAATATTTAGAGGGTGCAAACGTTAAAGATGAGGCAAGTTTGTGCGGACTGTTTCAAGAAGAGTTTTAGCTGAACTAACAGGGGTAAAACTTAGCAAAGGAAAATATGTAAAAAAAATTAGAGGGAAAATATTTGTAATAACTTAAGAAATAAATCTCACAACTCTACAAAAGTTTCTCTGAAAACAGTGTGATATCCATGGCAAAATTCACAAAACACCCTGAGGACACTGCCATGCTTTTATATTATAAAGTACTCTTAAGCTGCCTCAGAGATGGCAAAATGTGACTTCATGTCTGCCTTTCTGATTGCTCAGCTGAAACTGAATTTCTCCCTCCTGCTCTTCCACCTTTGGGTGATACATGTGTGAACATCTGTATCCAGACATAGTTTGTTCCCAGTGGACTTGATACATATACCAGTTTTTTA